TGTCCCCCCCCCCCCATATGGTGACCTCCATATGGAGATGCATGATAGTCATGCAATATTGCATTCATCTCCTCCTCAGGGACACATCTTCATACCAACTAATCTGTGCACTGCTTATATAGGAATGGCTCATCCCACATGTAAAGCCTCACATCATGCAGAAACCTTCTTCTATGATCGGGTGTCAATTCTGGTAGTGTAACCCACTTGCAATACAATTCATATAATCTGCATACCACGGGGCTTCACTTGAGGTTATTTCTAATAATTGCTCATTAGGAAATGTTTCTTTGATCGACCCTCCTTCAGCTACATGGATCCAATTTTTTAATCTGGACAAGTGATCAGCCACTTGGTTCTCTGCCCCTTTTCTATCTCGGATCTCTAAGTCAAACTCTTTCAATAGGAGGAGCCAACGAATCAGCCTCGGCTTGGCGTCTTTCTTTTCAAACAAGTATCTGATAGCTGAATGATTTGTGTAGACAATGACTTTGGTTCCCACTAGATAGGATCTGAACTTGTCAAATGCCGACACCACTACAAGCAACCCTTTTTCAGTAATAGTGTAGTTCATATGGGATGGATTCAAAGTTTTGCTCGCATAATAAATGGAGTGAAAAATTTTATCCCTCTTTTGCCCCAAAACAGCTCTGATTGTTATATCACTCGCGTCGCACATCAACTTAAATGGCTGCACCCAATCCAGGAAAATGATAATTGGTGCAGTCACCAACCTTCCCTTCAGCTCCTCAAATGCTTTCAGACAATCATCATCAAACTTGAAGGGGGTATCTATCTCAAGAAGCCTGCACAAATGAGAAGAAATTTTTGAAAAATCTTTAATGAAACGATGATAAAAACCTGCATGGCCCAAGACTCTGCGAATGCCTTTCACGGATGTTAGTGGAGGTAGTTTTTCAATTGCCTCCACCTTCACTTTGTCCACCTGCAAACCACTTTTGGACACCTTGTACCCCAGGACTATACCTTCACGTACCATGAAATGGCATTTTTCCCAGTTTAGCACCAAGTTCGTCTCTTCACACCTAGCAAGCGCTTTATCAAGGTTCATTAAAAAATTATCAAAAGAACATCCAAACACAGAAAATGATCCATGAACACTTACACAAATCTTTCAACCATGTCAGTCAAAATAGCTATCATACACCTTTGAAAAGTTGCAGGTGCATTACAGAGACCAAAGGGCATTCTTTTGAACACATATATGCAATAGGGATACGTAAATATGATCTTCTCTTGGTCCTCTGGGGCTATAGCAATCTGATTATATCCCGAATAGCCATCTAGGAAACAGTAGTATTCCTATCCAGCTAATTTATCAAACATTTGATCAATGAAGGGGAGGGGAAAATGGTCCTTTAGGGAGGTATAGTTTAATTTTCTATAATCTATGCAAATTCTCCACCCAGTGACAGTTCTTGTGGGAATCAGGTCATTGTTTTCATTAACCACTATAGTCATCCCCCCTTTCTTTACCCATTTGCTGTCAGAGATTGGAATTACAATATTTGCATCAAGCCACTTAATCCCTTCTTTTCTTACCACTTCTTTAATGATCGGATTTAGATGGCATTATTGTTCTACATTTCGCTTGTGCTCGTCCTCCATGAGGATTTTATGCATGCAGAAAGCTGGACTAATTTCTCTAATGTCAGACATCATCTACCCAATTGCTCGTTTGTGCTCATGTAGCACTTTCAACAACTTTTCTTCCTGCAATTTAGACAAATCAGAAGAAATAATAATAGGTAAAGTATCAGAACCACCCAAATAGGCATAATGAAGGTGAGAGGGCAAGGGTTTAAGTTCCAGTTTTGGAGCTTCTTCAATCGACGGCTTTAGAGGAGGCCCACTTGGCTTATTTAGGGGCTCAAAGGGATTTAATCCTTGCATGTAAGCATATGATGCATCTAGGATATGCATTATCTCCTAAACCTTATCATCAATCTCCAAGCTATCGAACAACATGAGTGGTTTCTCTAGAGAATCATCTAGATATACACTCATGTCAAAAAGTTGCTCATCTATCTCTACAACAGATATCATAAAAAGCTCGTCATAATGGCGAGGAAGTTGGATCGCCTTGTAGATATTAAAAACTACTTCTTCATTGTCCACCCTCATAATCATTTTTTCTTCTCTCACTTTAATAATTGTATCACCTGTAGCCAAGAGAGGTCGTCCCAATATGATTGGAACCTGTTTATCAGCTTCATAATCTAGGATGATGAAGCCCGCTGAGAAGATGAATTTCCCAATTTGCAGCAACACATCTTCAATCACTCCTTCAGGGTAAGCTATGGATCTATCAGCTTGTTGTAACATCACAGTGGTTGGTCTTGGAGCTCCCATAACCAATTGTTTGAACAAGGATAAGGGCATCAGATTTATGTGTGCCCCAAAATCACAAAGAGCACGCCCAACATCGATATTACCAATTCGCACTGGGATGGGGAAGCTGCCAAGATCCTTAAGCTTTTGAGGAAACTTGTTCTGGACCCTTGAAGTGCACTCCTCAGTAAGTGCGACTGTCTCAAATTCAGTCAATCTCCTCTTATGAGCCACTATATATTTGAATTACTTAGCATACTTTGGAATTTCATGAAGTACATCTACCAATGGAATATTCAATTGAACTTGGCTCAACATAGAGAGAAATTTGTTAACCATGCGATCATCATTCTTCTTTTGCAATCTTTGGGGGGTGGCCTTGTAGCCTCCACTAGCTCTGAACTTGCATCATCTTTCTTTGACTCATGTGTTGCTTTAGGGATCAACTCCCCCTCAGGTATAGGTTTGTCCTTTCTCTTCTTTGGCACTTCCTCTAGTTCCCTCCTATTTTTGAGTGTAATTGCATTAACTTGAGGGTTCTTCTCTATATCACTGGGAAGAGCACCTGCAGGCCTAGTATTTTGATTCGCTGCTAATTGTCCCATTTACCTCTCAAGATTTCTGAAATTTGTCATGAGCTATTGATTGTCAAGCAACAACTTCTTCAACAAGTCATTCGTACTCTCTTCCATTTGTTGGGGTGGCTTCTAAAGTTTATTAAAATTTCCTTAGGGCCTAAACTGATTGTGATTCTGCTGATTTCCACCCCATGAGAAGTTAGGATGATTTTTCCAATTTGGATTGTAAGTGTTCCCATATTGTACATGTTGGTTCATTGAACCCCTGCTCTGTTGCCCCACATAGTAAATAGATTCAGGATTCGTAGGGCACATGTCACTCGTGTAACTGTCACCACATAGTTTGCAATAAGTAGACATTTGTTGTACATGTTGCATCTGTTGTGTTTGTTGCATTGTCATTCTGTTCAATTGATTTGTGAACTTTGCTATATAGCTCTCATGGTTGAGAAGTCATCAAGTTCAATCACACCGGCTGCTTTCTATTTAATTTCTCTTCCTGAGTCACCATCTCCTTGCCAATTATGATTATTAGCAGTGAAGTTGTTTAGCATGAGCTGGATTTCACTATATTGTCAAGCCATGCAACTACCCCCACAATCTGAGTCAAGATTCATCTTTGATGCCTTGTCTAGCCCATTAACAAAAGTATGACCCAACACCTCATCAATCTGACAATGATACGGGTAGTCTCTGAGTAGCTTCATGTATCTTTCCCAAGCTTGACGAAGTATCTCGCCATCCCACTATTGGAACCCAAGAATCTTGCTCCTCAGCGACTTTGTCTTCTTACTAGGGAAAAACTTGATTAAGAATTTCCTTGCTAGATCATCCCAAGTGTGGATTGAGTTCGTCGGCTCCTTTTACAACCATTCCTTAGCTTCCCCCAACAGTGAAAAGGGAAATAGTGTCAGCCTAACATAGTCCTTGAAAACGTTCGGATAAGTGTAAGTGTCCATAATTTCCAGGAAGTTCTGAATGTGCCTCTGCGGGTCTTCATGAGATAGACCCACATATTGCCATGTGGACTGAATCAGCTATACCATGTACTGTTTGAGTTCAAAATGCCCCGAGATATCAGGCTTCACAATATCCTGAGTCATATTAGCAAGATCGGGCCTTGCGGCTTCCATCACCAGACGCTCTTCATTACCTACCATTCATATTGGCTGAGGTTGAACTATGATGTCCAACTCTCTTTCTATTCTAGTTCTAGCTTCGAATTCCCTCCTCAGTCTGTGAAGTGTTCTTTCAATTTTAGGATCAAGAGGAAGGAGATTGTTTGTGCTTATCGATTCAAGAGATTTCACACAAAATATATAAGTGACTAATTTACTACCTAAAACTATCAAACAATGAAATAACTAGAAATCAACCGCAACACTTAAGCAATTTCGGATAACAATTAGTTGGAGATGATATTCCAGAGTCCCAGGTTAGCTAACAATCATGTTGCGCTCTTGGCTTAAAATAACTAATTGATTTATCTGGATTGTTGATTGACATGGTTGATATTACTAATAAGAATTCGTCGAGTTCTTACTTTCCTATTCAATGTAACTTAATGTCTTTATGTCAATGGAATTAAGATTAATAAGAATGCATTTACAATTTCTGTATTTCAACCAAGCAAGGAAATTAGGTATATGTCTATCCTAATTGCGAATTCGTTCCCCGATGCTCAGGTTTAAGAACTTGCTCTATTTAATTTTATATGCAATCTACAATTTTCACTTTCGAGTTCAACTCTAGATTCTTAGATAGTATTTCACTGTTAGCTCCTCAGCAAAATAATTAAAAATAGAATTAAATAAACAACCCAATATGATAAACTCAAATTCGTCAAATTAAACTTCAAAGATCACATTCATGTAGCACCCATGACCCCAGAACAATAGGGTTCTTAGTAACTCATGTTCATACAATCATCAAAAATAATGTTTTTAAACATAAAATCAATGAGTACTAGAAAAGAAATGGAAGAATTGATCAAATCGTGCTCCGAGTGTTTGGCACTTTTCTTTTTGTCTCCAAGTTAGGTAACCCCCTCAAAATCATGTTTATTTGTGTATTTATATCATGTAGAAACAACCCCGGACGAATCTACCCTTTCCAAGCCAAAGTGGGAAATACTCTGTAGTATTTTGCACAGTCGCGACGTGGTGCACCTGTGGAGTTTATCAGCGGGGGTGCTTTTTTTCTTTGACACGCCATTTTTACACTGCCGCTTCGCAGGGCGCGGCGCAGCAATGTTAAATTCTCAAAGTGACATTGTTTCCTCCTCTTTTAATATCCAGACTTGGTACATGACCTCCAAACACGATCCCGGCATAATTTATTAGGCTTTTACTCATACTTCAAAGCTCCAAATTGATCGATTTAGCTCCAAATTGACTTTTGAACTCGGAATCACTTTTTGCAAGTCATAAAACACGTACTAAGTATAATTCACTATCATTTAAGCTCAAACACACATAAAATGCAATAATTAGAGTGTAATACTACAGCTAAAACATGGGTTTCTAGCCCAGCATTACTGGATTATAATTTAGAATGTTTTGGTGAATGACTCAGCAAATAATAAAAGCTTGAGTTGTATATCGAGAATTGATTTATAGCATTAATTTCTCTGCGATGGCTAGCTAGAAGACTTAGGTGGAGAATTTAATAGTCAGAAGACTTTAGTTGGACAATTCAATGGTATCTAAGTTTCAAAGAGAAGTATATAAAGCAACCAAATACTTCCAAAAAACAAAGAGAGCATCTTGAGCTTAGTACTTAAGTAATATCTACTATACAAAAGGGTTACAATTTGGTTAGTAATCTATCACTTTCTTTTGTAAAAGTCCTAGCTTTCTTGTTAGAGAAAGTATAGAAAATCTGATCGTTAGTGGTAAGACCATATCTTTATATAAGTTGATGTCAGTATATTCAAATCTATACGCTGGTGTGGAACTCAATCAGGATCCAAAATTTTAATTTGATGGGTTCAGTCTTTATATTTTATTTTAAAAATTATGGGTTCAGAATGTAATATTTATTAAGATTTTGATGATCTTTCACAAATATATCTAAGTCGCGTATTAAAATTATAGATCAGTTGAACTCGTAGCCTGCTAGCTACATCCGCCTCTGAACTCAATTATTGTTTTTAACCAAGGAAAGTAAGTGTAGACTAGTGAAAATGTCTCAAGGGGATCGGACTGGACAAAAGCCATTGGTTTTGAATTTTGGTAAATGGAAACTCCTTGAGTCTTCTCTCTCCCTAAGTTTCTATAGTAGTATCCAGGTTGCGTTAGTATACTAAATTCAACTTCTTGCATTGAGCAAGTGGATATTGGTTCTAGAGGATTTACCAATCAATATTTAAGCCATATTTTTTTTAACCTCGAATTTAATTAATTTGAAAAGGTTGTGAATATACAGTTGTAGTTAAAAGTTTGAGTTATCTTGAAACTATTTCTAGATGATTGAAAAGTTTTGGGAGCTGACTAAAAGTTTACAAATTGACTGGAAAATCTAAAAACACTTAATTCACCCCCTCTTTTGTGATTATTTGTTGATTGTCACGGATATATGTTTTAAGCCTCTGAATTCCCTAATGCAAATTACTCGGGTATAAGTTTATCAGTAAGAACCTCAAATAGAGAAACAATCCGGAAGTGTGGGATATATTGAGATTCATAAAGGCAATTATAAGATACAATTTCGATCAGTAACGCCAATCTTTTTACATACAAGCTTTTGTATGCAATATACTCAAATTTTATATACAGTCTATAACATAGACTGAACACTAGGCACACCACATAAATTATGAACATTGTGACCAATGATCTGTACCACCATTTGATTCCTTACCAGTTTTGCAGGTGCCATCGCTTCCCTCATATGGATAATTGAATTCAGTAGTAAGCCTATGGTTCTTGATGATAAACTTAAAAGTGTCATCTGTTAGTCAATCTGTATTACTATAATAAATAATAAAACAGTAAACTTCCAGAAACAGAAAGTTAGCAGCAACAAAATGTCAAAATAACATCAGAAAAGAAATAATTTCGGAATAAATCGAGCCCATCAAATGCACAGTATGTCCTTAAGGAAATTATTCCCCTAAAGTACCCGAGATATTGAAATATTATCCTCCCAGGATAGAACGACTTAACTCACTAGCGTATTGGTACCAAAAACTCTGATGAACTGCGAACCACTTAATGTCTGTAAATCACACCGGAGTAGATTTGTGTAGAAGAACAAGAAGGTTCACAACTCTTCAGAAGAGTCACTCAAAAACCGGAGGGAAATTTCAATAAAAATCAAGGAAGAAAGTGAATCGAATCGCACACGGATCCAGTTTGGGTTGGATATTTAATTAATATTTAAAGAAATTTTATCCAAAAAGATTAATCAATCAATCTTTGACCAATCTGAAGTCGAAACCGAGCCGAGCGATAATGATGGCGGCGTGAGGCTTGCCTTCTTCTTAACTCTTTAAGAGTTAGAAGAAGAGTAATTGTATATATACCCATCAAAAGTCTTTTCTTCCTCCAATATGGGACAATATCCCTTTTACAAGGAGTGAAATTCAAATATTTTATTTTCCCTCCATTTCCCACTCACCCTTTATTTTAAGCTACCCAAGCTTAAATACAACAATCCCCACATGAATGGGGAATAGCTATAAGACAAAGGAATACACTAACGAGTGTATGATTTACATGCAAGAGTTAATTGCATCTAGGTAAGTAGGTTTCCCTTTGAACTATCCGTAGTGAACTTATATCGGATATACTCGGTCAATCGGTAGATTTGATATCTTTGAACCGTTGAGCTTTGTTGTATACCTAGACAACATAAGTTACACAATCAACCCTTAACCATCTATGGTTCTCACGGTTGGGTTCGTTTCAGCCACGAACACCGCCTGGTTTCATGAGTGCTTAGAGAATGAGCCTTTACTTTCATTCCCCTTGAAGCGGCTAACACTTCAAACTCACATAGGTGATTTTTAAATGTGTGATCATATA